ATACGGACCAGAATGTCGCCATCTCTGCTCTGAGCTGTGGTCCTGCTTTTGGGTCACACATATATATCACCCCAAGGCCCATAGGCTGAGCAGCGCAGGATACCTATTGAGGGATATGGTATCGCATTGCTTTTCTTTCTTTCTTTTTTTGGGGGTTGTGTTTTTTAGTTGTGCATGATAAAGTTGTGATTTCTGTTTATCATTCTGATAGTGAAATGCTGATTACATAGTACCTTAACAGACAAGTTTATTTGGAATAACTTATTAACCAATTCTAAGTATTTGGTGGATGCTTGGAGCAATCACGATCTAAATCACTAATGACTTTTCTGGTGTCAAATTCTGTTTGTCTTTTGTATTTTCTAAATCCATTAAAGTCATGTCCTAAACACAACTAATTGTCATTACATTTTTCAGTTAAAGGTTAAAAGTGGTTTTACAAGCATTTATTTGTGTTTTTTCTATGAATGAATGTTGTTGGTCTCATTATTATGCCACAGAATTATTTTTGTTTAGAGGATTGAAAATTAAAAGTGTGTGGGAATAACACTTACAGAAATAAAAGACAATATAAGCCAGTTTAACTAATGCTCTGAAGCTTTTAATGTTTTTTTTTAAATAAATAATTCAATTTGAAGTGAATCACACAGAATATATTTAACATATTTCACACTAGATTAGTGCAAACAGTTTTCCTCCTGGAGATTTTTCTGCAAATTTTTGACTCAGTGTCAAGTCCCTGGCAAGATGAAGCTGATAAAAGCCATTGAGAAATCCATGTTAGCTGACAATACCTTTGTAACAGTCAGTAGGATCAAGGGTTTATATGTTTTTAATGGGTGATCATCAAAAAGTCAGCCTGTGTCTTGTATAGAAGCAGTCGTGTCATGTCCAGCCCTGGGTCTTGTCCTGCATCACTTACGTTTTATTTCTTGGCTGCAGATTTTCACTTTAAGTTTGAGCAAAAATTAACCACCAAAAAAAGTCCCAAACTTGATTTTTTTTAAAAGAAACAGTGTACGCTGTATCTCCTGCATCAACCAATGACGAAAAAATTTAATGTTTAACTTGGGCATAATGAAGGGGTTATTATTATTATTAGAATAAGTAACCACATGTTTTCCAGCTGCATAAATCCATATGATGTCATCATTCCACATAGGCAGGCGTTAGATGCAAATGAATGATCTAAAATTCTTACACGTGTCTGATTTTCAACTTCACCAAAGTGTCTCTGCACTCCTAATCAAAGATGCCCTTTTGCCTCGTCCCACTGCTTACCAACTTCCTATGAGATAAGATAAATTGACACATGAAATCACTGTGACTTTGTCAAAATGACATTAACTCCTTGTCAGTTTCTCTTAACATGCCTCGTGCGAACACGTCACAGGCTCATACAAGGTGTGTGGCTGTAATATTAAGTCACATTTCCTTAAATTTGTGTAATTATTATAACCGCAGCAATAACTCCTTGTATCTTTTTTACCCTGTTCACACTTTCTTTTACCTTGTTAAACCCCGGAATTTCAGACTTCAAACACAAAACCTTAAAGATGAAAGTTGGTATGAAGTATGTGTAAAGTATACAAACATTTTGTTATATGAGGAGGCGCTTACGGTCCTATTTTGCCGATGGCATCACAGATTTTTGGTCATTTGTACAAAAAGGTACAATTCAAGAAACATAATTATATTCATACAAAACAAATTAAGATAGAAACAAAAAGATTGGATTCCATTTAAAGATGGTTTTCAAGCTTTCTTTAGTGTATTGATGATAGCTGAACCACACAGAGTTCAGCTACAGAACATGAGAACATTCACTTTATAAAGCACATGTGATAGTATTCTTATAAACAATGGAAATTTTGGTTACACTTTTCGAACAATTCATATATAGTCACAATTACTCCAGAGCACTTCCTGGTCACCTCTTTGGGTAAATTTGTTTACTGCCGGAAAACAATTTCTACTCCTTGCAAGTTGCAGCTTTCTCAGCCATGTGTCAACCTGAAATGCAAGATAATAGTTTTTAAAATTCAGGACAAGGTGGTACATTACAGCACAGAATATAGATATGGAATAGTTTCAAACTGCCACTGCTCATGCAAACTGAAGTCAGATTGTTGAAAAGATTGAGATGAAGTTGTTTTGCTTGTTCTACAGGAGATTTTCTGCATGACACTTCAGCCGTTAACTTAGTAGAAATTAGTACATAAGTACATAAACATAAATACATTTGATAACTGATCAATTAAAGACACAATCAACCATTTTCCAAATATGTTCGTGCTAGAATGGAAAAAACCCACCTCACTTGCAGATTATCCAATTAAAGTGGCTCTCTGCAGGCTAAACCACAGAATGCACTGCAGCATTTTTCATTTCCATCGCAGTTGCTGTCATCAGAGCAGAGCTTTTCACACGTAAGGCTTGGGAAACCGCAGCTGCCTGGCTTCACTGGCACACCAAACACAAAAGTTCTCAAGAAATCCAAATGACTCATCTCAATACTTGGGGATTTTGTTGAGATTTGTTGATCCCTTACCTATCTTTGGTACTGTACACTCGTGCCCACAGCCATTGAAGCAGCATTTCTTACCATGTGGGCAGTGATGGTCATCAGAGCATGAATTGACACACGTCCCAACTGACCAGTGATTGTCAGGACACTCTGCCCTCACTGATTGGGAATAGAAAGCAATGCTGATGCATAAAATATGACAATATAGTTGTTTAATTTGAATTAAATGACAGGTGCCCCTTCATAACTTCTGCAGGCTTCATATCTGCAATCCTAAGATTTAACAAAAAAAGCTCATTTCTACACATGAGCAGTTTTGGCTGTTACCGAAGACAGGAGGCAAGCAGAAATTTCCACAGTGGTATTCGCAGCATTTGTGGTTGTCAGGACAGTCTCCATCACACTCGCAGCCAACACCTGATGGGAATCCCCGAAGGCTGGATGGACATTGGCCCGGTTTTGTGTGGCCATCTGATAGAAAGAAGCATTAAAGTACATAAATCAAAGTTCAGCTAGGTTAATGCCAATAAAAACTTTCGGCAGGAAAATAATGAACAAAGTTTTAGTCAGGCAAAAAGACTTACCATGAAATTTAAAAAGAGAGTGCACAAATATACCAAACGATAAAACCAGCAGGCTTATTGCACACCAGTGTGTCCCCATGGTCATTTCGAACAGATGAAATGGTTCCCTGGTTCTCCTGGGAAAAATATCCCACTGCACAAACAGTGGGGTGGGTGGGCAACAAAAAGGACTTATGGGTCCTTATGCCGGTTGAGTTAAGTCACCAAAGATCTCTGGCAAGATATGAGGCAAACAAACTTTTCCCTAAATGTCCACCTTGAAAAAAATTCCCTGAACCAGTACAAACAAACAGCTTTCGGCACTTGTGGTCAACATGTCATGAGTATGTTGTGAATCAGGCGTATTATGTGTCACATATATACATACATGTGTATGTAGTGAAAAATTCAACATCATGGGGTCCTTTTCCAGGTTAATTTAACATTGACAGCTATGATATATTTGTACTTGTCCAGAACTGGGAATCTAATGTCAAGCTGGCTGGGAACACAGTCCTCTCTATTCCAGGTCAGTTAGTTTATTCTACCAGCTGGCCTTGGGAGTGGGGTTTTAATGTAATATAGCAAAACTCAGATTTTAGAGAACTCCTAGGCTTTTTTTGTTTTTCTTATCATTATATCAATCAGCAATCGATATAAACATTTTGATATGTTTTATTGGATAGCCATTAGGGTTTTGTTTGTGTATACTATGGCTGTTTTAACCTACACATCACTAAAAGATATTTCTAATGCCTTGTTTTCGCGAAATTTCACAGTGATTTCAATAATACTATGAGTCGATGCCAGGTAGATCCCTCTGAGTATTACCCTCTATTGCCATCTGCTGGCATAATCGTGGATTACATATTGGCTTTTCTGAAGTATGCATGTATGTAGCCATAACAGACACTGGTGGTAAACATGTCATGAGCATGTTGCAAATTGTGTGCCATTTATCCCAATTTTCTTTTTACCATGAAAAGTAAATTGAGGCCTTCAATCTTTTAATGAAGGTATGTCATTAGCACTTTCCAGCTTTATTGTAAAGTAATGAAAAATAAATCATGTTTTATTTGTTGTCCTTAGCCCACACTTTACTCATCCCGACGATCTGTTTCCTCATTTATTTTTACACTATGTCATTGTTGGTGTTTTGTTCGACATAAGTATTAATTTTGTCTTTTTCTGCCAGCTTCTTGGTCTTAACTTTCTGCTTCGTGAACACTGGGGGGATTCTGTTGCATCTCATTTGTCACCCCGGCTGGGGTATCAATTTCTTGTGGAACAAGAGGCTCCTCCTTTTGTTCTACAGGAAATTGTGGTTTAAAGAGACATTCCACCATAAATTTGCACCCTGTAGGATACAACAGCTTTGGAATGATACGAGTTTTTGTAATCATGTTTTGATTCATCTACTCAGGCCTTTGATTGGTGTGCTGCATGACAAGACCTGAAATGTACTGTAAATTAATTTACATATAATTTGCCACCTGATATCTTTCCATCTTTATCTTATACACTAGAAATTATTTTCTCTTTTATCTAGGAAATTTTTGTGGAAATCTGACATTACACAAGGTACCCCCACTTTTTTAATGCTGTCTTACTCATCAAAGTGGGACGTAGTCCCCATGTAAATAAAGAATTATATGTTTTCTCTGAAAAAATAAAAGTGAGCACTCACGTATTTTCATCTGGTCCAAAACTACCGGTACTCTCACAGTGAACAGCAACAGACAACCCTTTTCTGACTCCATCTCTCTGTGGATAAAAACTGACTTGTGTAACATGGAAAACATCCCAGCCTTCATACTCCATGAGAGTACAGACAGGGACAAATTAATGAGATAGTCTGCACAATCACTTTTTGAGTCTATATGGGTCCACACGCAGCTATTAGATTTCAGAGGAGTCTGGCTGAGCTCCCCCACTGTGAGACCTGATCGTCTTATTATCTGATTCAGTCTCAAGATCCTGATAAAACTGTGCCAACGCACGCGGTCTCATGCTGCCTCATGATGTACAAGCAGAAAACACAGCATGTCTGAACTTGTTTCAGATGTAAAACATTATGGAGAGGATTTGTTTTTTGAGAAATACAAGTAAAAGTTTTGATTAGGGAGTGCTGCAGCCACAGTGATCTCAGTGAACGTCTCTCACCATCATATTAACATTTAAACACTATTTTAATGCTTAAGATGTGAGTTTGCGTGTAAAATCCCAAATATAGAAAAATTAGATTGCCTTTACTTTGATTTATCTCATTAATTCAGCATTAAAATCAAGGCATACTCTGAAAATAAACAAAATAAACCATACTATTATATACTATAGACTTGGCTTGTGATCTTATCTAAATCTGAAAATTCTCTCATATGACCGTCTACACTGGGTCATCCTATTCAAGATGAATGTCAACCACAATATCGGTACCATCTGTATGACAACAAAAACCTCTCAATGTGGTGCAGTACCTTTTAAGAACACTGGGTGGGTGTCTTCATTCGAAGATCCCATCTACCTAAAGCTACAGCATTACTTATATTTCTCATTCCATAGAAGTTAGATCATCAGCAGAAAGGAAATCATTTCTTGGCACAGGACCTGGAAATATGTACTGATGCTCCTCAGTTAAAATGATAAAATCTTATGATAAGCCGTTTCATCCAAAAGAGATCTTTGCTGTGAAATGTGTCTTTTTGGTGTCCATCAAATGTTGAAATACAGAATAACTATGTGGATGTATTCCGTCTTGCTTTGATTTGATTGACAGGTATCCCCCAAATCTTCAAACAGAAGGAGGGCAGCAAGTACGAGACGTTCTGTGGTCTTCCTCATCTTTTCTTGAATGGCGTTTGACACATTTCACCCACTCGGAGATGTGTTCAGCCAGTGCTTCTACATATGCAGTTTGGAACACTTCATGTCATCTTTTTTCTAAATGTATTAAATGTTGCATTCTCATTTGACCAAATCTCAGAATCACTTCCTGCCTCTTCTCCTTCCTTCCATTACCCGTCTGTTTTATTTGATCCACTTGTCCTTGGGAATTCAGACATGGAATAGTGTTGCTGGCATTATTTCATCCATGTTTTTGTGTAACAAGCTGGTGTGTTATTGTATGTCCTTGAAATGTTGTAGATGCTATCAGCTTGACTACTGGCTGTGAATACTGAACACGGGAATGAGGTGGAAAGAATATGGCTCATTGTGACTTCAAGTTAAATGTGGACACATAGAGTTGTGACAGATTTTGAGACCTTATGGGATGGTAATTTCCCCATTTCTATAGCCCATGCTGGTCCTTAAATAGAAAAGAAAAAAAAACGAGTGAGAAATGTGAAACTATTTTCCTGCACAGCATATGTAAAATATGTTTTAGCAAGTGCTGTAGTTGACTCACCTATGAGCCAATCAATAGTAAACATTGGAGGACGCATTTTCTCTGAGTACGTATGAGAAAATGGCTGCAAGTAGACGGGAATAATAGATGGAGGGTAAACATTTATTTATTTTCTCTTACAAATCATTGCAACATTCTGGAGGAAAATGTGGCTTTCTTCATATTACTTTCCATCTATCCGAAAACAAACATACAAGTCAAACAAAAACAACTTGATATATGGAGTTCATGCTCCTTTTTGGTCATTTCTTAAACTAGTCTCAAAATCGCTAAACCATTTGCGGACCTAGGGGTCTGTTCACCAAAGAAGGGCACATGAATAACGGTGCATTAACCTGTCAGTGAACTCCATATGCTAAACTCAATTGCTGTATTATCTCTACACTGACATTCTACTCTCAGTTATCTTTCAAAGATTGAATCAAATTTTGTGTCTCACTTTACCCTTGGGCAAAAAAAAAAACAGTTTCAGCTGATGGCTGGATATCCTGAGGAGATGTAGGGTTGACTGTCTCATCTAAATCACTAACAGATGAAAGCATCATCACCGAGGAGAGAGATATCATGATTTTCTTTTCTGCCGTTAAAATGAAAAGTTGCAGATTGGTTGTTGTCTTAAAGACACACAACGCCGAAACTGTTGTGACTCTAGTTATCACAGATAGCTTGATCACCGTTTGTGTTTACAGATTCAAATAATATGCTTGACCAATGGGTGTACTGTGCTAATACAAAGAACAATGACGACCCTAAAATAATATATGGTCGTCGAAATAATATTAATGATTCTAATGATGAAGCATGCCCAGAAATGCCCCCCCCCCCCCCATCATCCTATTGTCTCCGTGGCGGAGAACAGGCTCCTGAGCCCCATGGGAAATCTGTAATGTATTCAGCTAGGCCTTGGGAGTAAAATGAAAACAAATGTGGTGTAATAAAGGAGAGAAGATGAAGCGATTCTCTGATGATACTTTCTACCTGCCTTATAAATCAAAATAAAACTGGAGCAGGTCATATATGACCTGCTCCTCTTACACAAACCAAACACAATATACATACATACATACGTGCATACATACATACATACATACATACATACATACATACATACATAC